TTTAGTCGGCATGGTGGTTCAGTGGTGTCACAGCAAGAAGGTCTCCGGTTCGAGTCCCAACTGGGTCAGTTGGTGTTTCTGTATGGAGTTCCCCCCGTGTTGGTGTGGGTTTCCTCCGGGTGCTCCGGTTTCCCCCACATTCCAATCACATGCGCTATAGGGGAACTGATCAACTACACTGGCCATAGTGTATGAGTGTGTGTGTGAATAAGTGTGCATGAGTGTTTCCTAGTGATGGATTGCAGCTGGAAGAGTATCTGCTATGTAAAACATATGCTGGAATAGTTGGTGGTTCACTCAGCTGTGGCGACCCCTGATGAATAAAGGACTACTTCACCAAAGGAAAATGAATCATCTCCATTATAACTGTGAAAGTGCGCTGCAATTCTGCTGTCGGCCACAAGGCGGCAGCACCACTTCACTGTTCACGATTAACATTTGCTCATTTACTTTACTCTCTCGCTTCTCAGCCAAGATATTTAATTATTCTTTCTTTCTACGGTCGAACACGAACGTTTTTAGAGAAAAACATGCAGGATTTTACTAAATTTAGTAGAATTCAGTGCTGCTCAAGGGCTTGAACTGGTGTTTTGTATTGTTAATCACATTAATATTGTGGAAAATGTTGTTTTCATTTCTAAAACATGATTACAGAGAGATTTAATACATACAGTCACGTGGTTGGAGACCACTTCTCCCCTGCTCGTTCTTTTCTTCCTTATACAGTTTCATAATTACATTAATTCAGTTTTAAAATGAATCTCTGTATGTAGTCAGGGGCGGATGTAACCAGTTAGAGAGGTCGCTTAGGGCCCCAGGAAATCTGAGGGGCCCCTATAATTACCTTTACGTTTTTATAAATTATATGAGATGATATTTAGTGGTGTGTTTTGTTTGGTGCGTGTTCAACAAATACAATTTAACCCTAATTATTACATCTGTGCACATGTGTCCCCCACTCACAATCATGGATCAGTCCAGCAGTCAAACCAGGTGAAGATTTAGTTTTCAAAACCAAAACCAAACGTTTATTCAGTATTTTTAGTTATGAATTCACTTTAAAATGGAGAAATCCAGACTGAGAGATAAAAGAAAAAGGCAGCTAAATACAAATGCGAAGGGTGCATATTACTGTGTGTTCTGTTTACGGTCCACAAATCCCTGAATCTGCCCCTGAATAAAGCCCAGAGATGTCCAAACTTCGGCTTGCTGGCCAAAGTTGGCCCATGGTAACCTTTGATTTTGCCCACCATCTGAGAATAATGGGGAGGGTTTAGAGCAGAGATTTCAAAGTCAGTTCCTGGAGGGCCGCAGCTCTGCGCTGTTTTGCTCCAACACTAATCAAACACAGATGATCTAATCAAGACTAGTCAGCAGGTGTGCGTTGGAGGTGGTTGAAGCTAAACTATGCAGAGCTGCGGCCCTCCAGGAGTTCAGTTTGAGACTATTGGTATTGTCAATTCAAATTTAATGTAACCCTTTGATGTTTGTTAAAAGCAAACTAAAATGAAATTTTTGTAATAAATGATGTAAATTAATCGGATTTTTTTTAATGTAGACACGGTCACCTGACAGATAGAGGACAAAATAAGGCCGAGGCAGATTCTGCTTGACTGTATTCAGCATTAAACTCCAGTGTTATAATTGTGACTGTTTATGTTTTTTTTGCTAGAAGTTATCATTTTATTGTAAGTTATACTGCATTGGATAAGACAATTTAAAGTAAAAAATTTTAAATATTAAGAAAAAAAAATAGGAAATTACCCATGGCAACTTTAATGTAAAATAGTTTGGTGTATTTACATTTGGATGTTAATCAAAGGCGGCAACACCAAGGCTTAAAAATACAAATTTATTAAATTAAAAAGGCTGACACTGAGCGCTCTGTGTCAGCCTTTTTAATTTAATAAATTTGTATTTTTGGAGCCTTGGTGTTGCCGCCTTTGATTTACATTTATTTGCACTTTTTGCGGTTTTGGCTGAGCTCCTAATTAAGAGAGATGTGCCTGCTTTTGTACAGTATTTACATTTGGCCCACGGCTCTCAATGACATTTGGTTTTTTGCCTTTTATAGGAAAACTTTAGGCATTCCTGATATATCCTATATGTGTGTGTGCTGTGGTATTAAAGCAATATTGTGCATTACAATGCATTACGATGCGTTTCATAGTTATTTGACCACAAAAACAATTACAATTAGTTTAATGTCATATTAAATGTCTGATTCTGATTAATTATATTAATTTATCTTGAGACAAAGCTCTACTTTTCTTGCAAAGATTAATTTTCTTGCAAACAACAGATGAATAACTCTTTCAAATGCACATTTGCTTATTTTTAAACAGCAATAACTCAATATATTGATCTTATTTTTGTAGGAGACAGAGTAAGGAAAGGTTTTGTATAAATAAAATAAATAAATATGGCTGTTAAGAATGAAACAGAATAAAATAAAATGCATACATTTTAGACTTTTATTAAAGATAACAACAGTGTCAGATTTAGATTTGAGTAAAAATATTTTATTAATTACAAAATTTGTTTTGCTTACAAACAACATTTGAGTTCTTGAAAGAAATGCATATTTGTTCATTTAAAACAGTAGTACCTGAATACACTGTTCATATTTTCACAGAAGGGATAAAATGAGGAAAGGTTTTATATTGGAAAACATGGAAATTACTTGAAGTGTGCAACAGAATGAAAGAAAATGTAGAGTTCAGATTTTAATTGAAGAGAACAGTTTCATATTTATTAGAAAGAAAGAAATAAACATCCAGAGACTGAGCAGTCGTGTTTTCTTCTTAATGAAAGGAGATTTGATTAAGAAAAAACTTCGCTTATAGATAATCGCTCGTCTTTAGTTCTGCAGTTGACCGCTGGATGTCGCTGTTTCACTGTAAATCAACGCACAGCGGCCGCTGTCCACAAACATGTTTATTACGTTTTTTAAGAAATTACGAATGAACATGTTTGTTAATTTGAAAATAGGGGATTTAAGCATAAGTATAAAATGCTCTGCCATAAAAACAGCAGCAGCTGATACTCATCAAAACAAGCTTATTATTCTAATGCCGTTTTTATAAGACAAATGCCGGTCACAAATGGCAAATGATTTATGATTTATGTATGTTTTACTGTTCATTATAACTCTAGTTATTTTAGCCTATTATTTGTATTACTACTACCATATTTTATATTTTAACAACAGCAATGTGTAAATAAAAAATAGCTTACACGTAGGACTTAGTTCGGATTAGAGTTTATTGTTTATTTCTTACAACTTCATCTGATAACATGAGAGTTAATGCAATATAATGTTTGTTTACACACAACTCAAAGCTTAATTACACCTTGATTTTATACATTTGTATTCATTCTAATGCAAAAAGACAAGTAAAAGACTTCACACAGTAATAACAGTGGTGTCTGCAAAGACCTGAACATAAAATTAAATACTATTACAATTATAACCCGTTTCCCTTTAAGAACTGCAAAGCAAAGAAAATAAAGGGTAATAATAATAATAATAAATTCACTAAACATAATGGGGTTTAACTTATCGTTTTAATTTTTATTCTGGCAGATTGTCTTTATTTTGACTTTGTTTTACTGTCACGAGCTTGAAAATTTAGTAGTTACAACCACATTACAATAAGCGATTCATGTAAAATTACAGGTGAAATCGGAAATCAAATATCCCACTTTAAATTGGTTTGAATTATGTTATTTGTTTGGGCGACACATTTAAAAAATAGTCACTATATTAATGAATAAGTTTATAAATGTAAAACAAATATAGGCTAGATAATATCCGCAAAACCCGCATTGTCGCAATCATTTTATCTGTTAACCCACAGAATGAATAAATAACTGGATTGTTATTTATGTCATTTAAGCTCGTATTGTTTTAATGGAAAATGTGTAAAGTCATCGTCATATTTCACACGGCGCGTTTCTGCTTTCTCGTTGTTTTGATGAAGGTCTAAATAATGTTGAACCCTTTTAAATTCGCCACGGTCATATTTCATCCCCGCAGATCCATAAAACATGAGCGCTGCACTTAAACAGATGATCTCTGTCTGTCTCCACAAAACACACAGCAGAAAACACTCCAGTCAAGATCACGGAGAGATCGCGGAGAAATGCGGCATTGTTGTTTTAACAATGCCAATGTACTACATCAGCTCGGCTAAATGAAGGAATGAATGATCTCAGAGCAGAAGAAAAGAAATGCAGTGGAGAATCAGATATTATCAGCATATATTAAGATTAAAACTGATAATAAAAACACCCTGCATGGGGAAAAACACGCGCTAATGGATGCGTTAAATTATACACCAAACAACTCGTGTTATACATTATTTTAAATGATTAATTGAGTAGTGGTTTAGTAACAACTCGTCTGCTTTTAAAACTTAGACTGAAATAAAAGATTGCAATATGTTAAACATGCAAATATTAAGTTATTCGTTTGATAATAACCTGAGATATACAAAACAGAGGACGCGATTAAATAATAGCCTATTTTCCCCATGCAATATTGATGTTTAAAAAAACACGCACGATGCGAAGTAATAAGACGCGATACTTTAATCGCACTTTATTACTATCTACTGCATCTAACGCGATGGATGGATATGCGAGCGCTAATTATCTGTTAAACATCAGTATATGGACTAAGCTAAACAAACGACCGAGCGCTTATTAATATGATTAGACACAGCTGTATGAGGTTAATGTACTTACTCTGCCACCGGCGTCATAAAGTAAACGCGTCTATTGTGTCAAACGCAGAAACAATGATTTCTACAGTGCGACGCGTCATTAATGCCGCTTCAATACGAGCTTGATGGAGTGCGGCTTTGTGGCGTTTGCGCGCATGCAAATTCCCCGCCGCGCGTCCTCCAATCACAGCGTGGCGTCACTTAGAGTCTTCCAATAGGGGAGTCGCGCTCGCAGGTGGCGGCGAGGTTATCAGCTCGTCGTCGCTGCCGGAGCGCATTGACCGGGGAATCGCACCTCAGATGCGGGGAACACGCTGCACTCGAAGCGGCCGTCAGATCTGCCGAACACCGCCGATTGGATTGCGCTCCGGAAACTCACTCGCGCGTGGGAAACATTTGCAAAGTTTCGCCTCCAGTTGAAAGTTCAGTTGGATGAGCTGTCAAACTTTATTTGCTGTACTTTGTGTGTGCTGTGTTCTTGGTTTTTGTTTCTCCGCGGTTTGTCCTGTGGCTCCGGCGCACCAATGTTAGCGGTGGGACAGATGGATAGTAACCGGCAGAGTGCGTTCGTCCTGGGCAGCACTCCACTGGCTGCGCTGCACAACATGACCGAGATGAAGACCTCTTTATTCCCGTACGCTCTGCAGAGTCCCGCCGGCTTCAAGGCTCCTTCTCTCGGCAACCTGAACTCTCAGATCCCGCTGGGGACGCCTCATGGAATAAGCGATATTTTGGGCAGACCCATCACCACTGCAGGACAGCTGCTCTCGGGTTTCCCTAGGATCAACGGATTGGCCACTTCAGCCGGGATGTACTTCAACCCGGCGGCCGTTTCTAGATACCCCAAACCGCTGACGGAGCTGCCCGGGCGGGCGCCCATATTCTGGCCGGGAATGATGCAAGGCTCGCCGTGGAGAGACCCGCGGGTTCCCTGTGCGGGTGAGTTTTGCGCGCTTGATCGAAATCAAGCTTAGATCCTCGAGTTGGAATATTTTATTGTACTTTTTTAAAACGCTGTGTTATTTAAACCCACATTTATTGCGAAATGTCCACAAATGCAACCAGTGCGTTAAATCTGCGCTATGCGTTAATTGCCTAAACTAGCCGAGAAGTCGGTTTTGTTCATATTTTAACCAGCATGTTTTTATTTACAGAGTGTGGTGTTTGACACTTGTTGGCTCTCAGTGACATGACAGCGCAATCTCTCATGAAGTTGAGTGGGTTTATTAGCTGACCGTGTCTCGTTTTTTTCTTCTTCTTCAGCCCAAGCAAACATGATGCTGGACAAAGATGGCAAGAAGAAACATTCCAGACCGACTTTTTCAGGACAGCAGATTTTCGCACTGGAGAAAACCTTCGAGCAGACCAAATATCTGGCCGGTCCGGAGAGAGCCAGACTCGCCTATTCTCTGGGAATGACCGAGAGCCAAGTCAAGGTAAACACAAAACTCCCAGATCAATCTAAGACTTAACTTCTCACAGCTGAAAACCACCAATAAGTTTGCAAAGCAGAGAGATGAGAGGTCGCACCGTTAATTTAGGACGCGGATAATTGCGGATAACTAATAATGTTTTCCTAACAATTTTGTTGTCATTAGGACACATTTAGGCCTTTGCTTTACGAAAACCCTGCTCAACTTTTTAATTACTTTAAAATAGGAAACAAATATTTGCTCTTAATTACATGTACGCTCTAAATAAAAATGTGTTGTTAACGTTACAAGTTTTCTTTTTTAAGGCTAATTAAATTTAAACTACAGTTTTGACACAACAGCCTTTTCCATATTTGATCCAACATTGGGCTGCAGCATTTTAAACCTGCTTTAAATTAATTATATATTTTCAGTCCAGTTGTTTTAATTAAACATTTTCAGGTGGCGTGATAAAAATCGGTAAAGTCTAGCTGGATATCAATATAGCATCTTTCGTCTCACTGTGCAACATTAACTTTTATTTTTGATGTTACTGCGGGGAGCAGACGTAATTAAAATACAATAATACACTTAAAATAACTATTAATTTGAAATGAGCTGAAACAACACAATCCTTGTTTTTTTTTTGTTGGGACAACTTAATTGTTTTATCTCCAATCTTCTTAAATTTGTAAAAACTAACAAGTTAACTTCATTCATGTCGTCCCAACACAAATCGATTGCGTTGAACACATTTTTTTACATTAGCTACACGTAATTTAATTAATATTAAAGGCTATAATAATTCTCGTTAACTTTTGTAGCAACACTCGCGCTACAGAATCATTTTTCCACAGAGTATGTCATTTATTAAATAATATAAATAATTCTCATTAACGTCTATAGCAACAATTGCTCTAAAGTATCAATTTTACAGAGTGATTTAATAAATTCTATAAATAATTCTCATTAAGTTTTATAGCAACAATCGCTCCATATAGCTTTTTTTTTACAGAATATATCATTTATATTTTATTTGTGTTGAGTTTAAACAAACAAATTAAATTTAGGAGTGTTCAACTTAATTTGTTTGTTTAAATTCAGCCCAAATAAATTGTTTACAATCACTTAACCTAAAAAAAAAAAAAGTAAATCCAAGGAATCATCTTTGAATAATTTTCAGTGAATTCCTGTTATCATCTACAGCCACCCTCGCGCTGAAGTGTTGTGTTCTCCTCTTCTTTCTCAGGTTTGGTTTCAGAACAGAAGAACTAAATGGCGAAAGAGGCACGCGGCAGAAATGGCCACGGCCAAGAAAAAGCACGACTCTGAGACGGAGAAGATGAAGGAGAGCTCGGATAACGACGAAGATGATGAATATAACAAACCCCTGGACCCGAACTCTGACGACGAGAAAATCACAAGACTTTTGAAGAAGCACAAGACGAGTAACCTGTCGCTCCTCAGCCCGTGCAGCAACAGCTCGGACACTTTGTGATCAATCTGAGCTCAAAGACTCTTCATGCACTGAAACCAAAACATGATGCATTGGATTTACTACATGTGTTTAAAGGTAACTGGCTGCAAGCAATTAATATGGGCTGAATGTTAGCAAGTTGAACATTACTGCATTTAATTTGTGTTTAAATTCAGCCGACACACTCTCTATTTCAACACAAATCCATTAAGCTAATCGTTTTTTACAAATTTGAGTGGATTGAACATAAAACAATTAAGTTATCCCAAAACAAAAGTAAAGAATTGTGTTTCTTCAACTCATTTTAATTTAGTTTAATCACACAGAAGTCATCTTTTGAGTGCATATAAATTGTTTGCAGCCAGTTACCTTAAATTCTTCAGTAAATTCAATAACTCATTCCCTTTTCAGTGCATCTTCAGCATCATCTTCATCAGTCTCAGATTCTCCTGCAGAACTGGGGCAGAATTAAGCAGGGTATAATAAACACACTGTTCACACTGCTTTGGCTTCGCTGCAGTTGTACAGTTAGAGTGGACGTGAGATGTATATATATTTTTTACTGAGTAAATTATGTTATTAAAGCATCACGAAGACGTGCCAATCTCCCCTCATCATCATCATAGGTCATTTAAGATCAGACGGTCGCACTTTACAACAAGGCTGTACTAGTTAATATCAGTTAATGCATTTATTAGCATGAACGAACAGGACATTCATGGCAGTATTTATTCATGTTAATACAGTGTTCACTGTTAGTTCGTTAACTCACGGTGCATGAATTTGGATGTTAATAATGCATACATGTTGAACTATCATTAAGAAATTATGTACATGTATTGTTGATTAATAATTCATGTAGTAAATACATTACCAATGCATTAACTAATGCAACCTGATTGTAAAGCGTGACCAAAATCGATCGCAGAAGAATAACGACGCCTCTTTCGCCTAAAAACATGTACTTTTTTATTATTTTGAAAGCAGGTACACAAAGTGTATAAAGTGCCAGTGTTGTAAATGATGTGAATAGAGTTTGTTTTAATAACAATGTCCTTTTTTTGGCCGCTTATACTTTCAATGGAAGGAGTTTATGTTTTACCTCACAACACGAGAAATACTCAAAGATGGACTTAAATATCGATGAAGAGAATATTATTGCTTCCGTGATGAAGGAAGAAAAACTTTGTATTATCAATAAATTATTTAACAAGCCGATGTTTTAAATATGTCATGATCTTTCTGTCATTTAGTGCATATTTTTGACCAAACTGTTTGGTTTTTGGGGTTGTGATGTCTGTTTATTTGACCGCGAATGTTGTAAACACTTAATACACGCTTTTATTATTATTATTATTTTACTTTTTAATTGTTATTATTATTTTATTATTTCTTTTTAATAATAATTATTATTACTTTAATAATTATTATTATTATATTATTATTATATCCATACACTCTAAAATGCTGGATGTTTATATTTGTTTTAAATTAACGTTAATGTTTTTCCCGAATTTTGGGGTTTGTCCATATTTTACAATTGCTTGCAAATTAATATGAATAATTGTATAATGACATTGCATAATTTTAAAAAAGCTAACATATCACAAATATGAATTTACAGACGAGCGACAAAATTATAATTAAACGACAACATAAATATATACTAACAAAAATTAATACAATTATAATACTACACTCTAATGCTGGGTTCTTATAACTCAACGTTGGGTAAGTTGTGTTTAAATTATTTTTAAATAACAATTAAACAACAACAAGTTGGGTTTATATATATTTGACCCAACAGGGGTTAAAGCAACCTATAATTATTCAGTGCAATAATACGCCTAATAACAACAACAATAATTTGTTCAAATCTTTTCTTTAAATGTTTAATATACACTCTAAAATGCAGGGTTGTTATAACTAAACGCTGGGTTAATTGGTTTTCAATTAATTTTAAACAATTAAAAAACCCAGCGGTTGGGTTTGTCTATATTTGACCCAACATGGGGTTACAACAACCTGTAATTTTACAGTGCAATAACATGCCTAATAATAACAACAATTATAATAATTAATAATAATAATAATAATTAGTTCAAATCGTTGACTACTTTAAATCTGTAATACTACACTCTAATGCAGGGTTGTTATAACTCAATGTTGGGTTAATTGTTTTTTCAATAATTTTAAATAACAATTAAAAAACCCAGTGGTTGGGTTTGTCTATATTTGACCCAACATGGGGTTACAACAACCTATAATTTTACAGTGCAATAACATGCCTAATATTAACAACAACAACAATAATTATTATTTTTAATAATAATAACAATTAATAATAATGATAATAACTATTTGATCAAATCTTTAACTACTTTAAATCTTTAATATTACACTTTAAAATGCTGGGGTGTTATAACTCAGCGTTGGGTTCATTGTTTTTCTATTAATTTTAAATAACAATTTAAAAACCCAGCGGTTTTCTATTTGACCCAACACGGGGTTACAGCAACCTTTACTTATTTCAGTGCAATAATATGCCTAATAACAAAAACAACAATAATAAAAAAATAATCCGATCAAATCTTTGATTATTTATCTTCATCAGAGGAATGAAGCAGATATGACCCGTGTTCTGCAGGATCACCTCAGACTAATGATGACAGATATTTAATCATTCTAAAATCCTGGATTATTTCAGCCTATTTTTGCGTTAAATATGGACAAAAAACAACTGCTGGGTTATTAAATTAAATACAATTTATAGGACCAAGTTTAACCCAATGTCCACATTTGACCCAGTTTGTGTTCAACATTTATAGATCCAGCTCCGGTTTATTTGTCTCAGTCTGAACGAGCTCCTGTAACGCGTGTGCGAATCATTTATTGACGAGCTCTCTGCAGTTTTGAGATCCGCCCTGCGCAACACAAACACACGGCTCTGCAAACACAGACACATATTTTTGTGATATGTAAATTTATTTGGGAAAAGCTTTAAATAATGACAGTATAGGCTACAATTTGGATATCGACCCGTGATGAGAGATGCGCATGGAAACGGGTTTACAGAAACACGCGCAAACCCTGTATTGACTAGATTTCCATGCAAATCAAAGAAACATTCCCGAACATTGTGCGACTCTCCCCGTCATTTAAACAAGACATCCAAATGTTCTGTTCAATAACAATAATATCTATAAATACACTCTGACCAAATGAACACACAATTTCATAAATATAATCTAGTAGTTAATAACGAGTCGCCTAATGATAAAACCCACATGGAAAATACTACAGTAATGTATAGTAAATACTATAGTTTTTCTGAACCATGCTATAGTAGTGCATTATACTGTTTACATTATACTATTTACAACTCTTTGTTAATGAATGCTCCAGCATACGGTCAACTAAAAAAATCACTCTGGGTTATTTCAATCCAATTTAGAGCAAACTAAAATGATGATTCAATTCATATGATGTCTATATTTTACTCTGAAGTAAAAGTGAAATAACCCAGCATCTTTTGAATGTAGTGAACTGATAAACTGTAATAAATACTGTAGTATACTTTAGTTTTTACTGCAGTGAGCTGTGGTGTATTGAAGTAGCATAGTTGTAGAAAACTATTGGAACATATAGCTACTGTGTTGCCATAACAACTATAGAATCACAACAACAGATTGCTACAGTTACTGTGTTACCATGGCAACAATAGAATCACCACAACTGTTTAATTATTACAGTTGGTTTTTTACCATAAAAACTATAGAATCCCTACAACAGGTCAACTACTATAGTTCTTCTGTTGCCATAGCAATAGTAGAATCACCACAAGAATTAAATTACAGTTGGTGTGTTACCATAGCAACTATAGAATCACCACAACAATGTTACAGTTGCTGTGTTACCATGGCAACTACAGAATCACAACAACAGGCCAATTACTAGTTATTGTGTTACCATAGCAACCGCAGAATAACCACAACAGATTGTTACAGTTGCTGTGTGACCATAGCAACCATAAAATCACCACAACAGATTGTTACAGTTGTAGAATCACCACAACAGATCAATTACGATAGTTTTTGTGTTACCATAGCAACTATAGAATCACCACAACAAATTGTTACAGTTGTTGTGTTACCATGGCAACTGTAGAATCAGCACAACCATTCAATTATTACAGTTGGTGTGTTACCATAGCAACTGTAGAATCATGACAACAGATCAATTACTGTAGTTGTTGTGTTACCATAGCAACTGTAGAATCACCACAACAGATCAATTACTATAGTTGTTGTGTTACCATAGCAACTGTAGAATCACCACAACAGATCAATTACTATAGTTGTTGTGTTACCATAGCAACTGTAGAATCACCACAACAGATCAATTACTATAGTTGTTGTGTTACCATAGCAACTTTAGAATCATGACAACAAATCAATTACTATTAGTTGTTGTGTTACCATAGCAACTGTAGAATCACCACAACAGATCAATTACTATAGTTTTTGTGTCACCATGGCAACTACAGAATCACCTCCAACAGATTAATTTAGGTACTTCATGGCTCAAAAACCCTGCAGTATTTACTACAGTATATTTGTATTCTTCACGAGGGATCGTTCTACATCCTACAGGATATTGGTGTATATGTATGAGTCCCGCAGGCATCTAGAGTGCAGAAAGTTGATTGTTGATCAGCTTGTGGAGGGTCAGTGACGATGAGCTCCACTAATGACACACTGAGGCACTGATTCATCCGCTCATTGATTGACTTCTAATGGTTTTATTGCTTTCGGAGGTCTTGCCATCCACTGTTTAATCACTTTAATCTGCCTAAAGAAAAGACGGAATCCTATATCGCCTGACTGGCTGCAAATCAAGATTTGGAAAAATCAACAAAACAAAACAGTTAACAAGCACTTTTTCCACCCAAATCACAGTCAAGGCGACACAAAATCATTCCCAGAAAACCTAACGGATCTGTAGTGTAGAATCAATTCAGCACAAGACATTCAAGAGGAGCACATTTGCTTTACACTGCTCCTGCTGAGTAAAACTCAGTCTAGAGTGTAAAGTAAAGTGTAAATAAAGTCCATCACTTGAGTGTTTTTTCTTAAAGCACATCGCCAAAACTGCACTTCTGACATTGGAGTTCAACAGTTGGCACCATGGCACAATAATATAGTAACAAAACAAAATCATACAAAAAGAAAAGATACAGCTATTTTGTAAAGATATACCCAGGCCTATTCAAATATCACATTCAGAACCATATATAACATTATTACACAGAAATAAGTTAGAATAAGAACAGTACTGTAATAACCCAGCAAGACTGCTATAGAAACTTAAACATTATATACTTGCAGGGTTTATGGCACTGCTTAAGAGATAAAGATGGCTATGTATATGTATATAGGCAAAAATAATAGCTCTCCTATACAATTTGCATTCTTAGTCAAATATTTCCCAAGTGATGTTTAACAGAGCAAGCACATTTTTACTGTATTATTTATATTATAAAGTGCGCTTGTTTCTACAATTGTTTTAGGACTTCAGATTCCACTGCCTATTGGAGAAATGACTATAAATAATAAACGTCAGAAAACTACTCGCTCTACAAACAAGTGTGTTTCATGACTGTACATAAAAAGTAGAATATAATAGGATAATATCAGTTTAACCTGCACAACAAACCGTTTTAAACTTTAATCATCTTCGGACGTCAATGAGAGCCGAAGCCGAAAGATTCCAACGGCTGCTCTCACTCAAATGTGAAGAATAAGCTCTATACTACTTCTTTCTTTTGGAGAAAATCTTGTTTGTTTTAGTTTGGCTGGAATAAAAGCAGTTTAAATTTTTTAAGAGGTCAAAATTATTAGCCAGAACAAACCACCATAGCCCAATGACTTGCCTAGTTAACTTAATTAACCTAGTTAAAGGTGCAGTAGGTGATGGTCTTCAGACACGTGTTGTTGTGCTGGTTGAAAGTCTCTTCTCAGTCCAAAAGTACTGATTAAAGAAAGTGATCTAAATGCATTTATATGTATTTTTTTTATTCTGGGTGAGGCATAAAACTCAAAAATGTTCATCCAATACGCTTATTTCAAGCGGCCGTCATCTTAAAACACGGAAGCGAGGCTGTAGTGGGAAGCACCCGGAAGTATTGGACCAGCACTGTAAACACTGCAGCAAGATGCTGTGGACTACAGAGCTCCAGCTGTTGCCGAGATTTAAAAATGCAGAAATGGTGTAAACATCACTTTAATATCATTCAGTAAAGTTTAATTTAAACAATTAAAAGCAGATTAAGCATCAAACAGCATCACAATGTCTTTAAGAGTTTCCTCCTAGGCTTCAGCTCATGGCAACAGGTAAACACCGTGACGACGCTTCCCTGCTTCAGCCTATGTAACCCGTTGAGTGATAAAACAATGCAGTGTTCTGTAGCACACCCTCGTGCTGTCTGTAATAGTGTTGTCCCACTTTAACACTTTAAGGTAATGCTGAGTGCGTTCTTAAACACCCCTGATTTGCCACCAGTGCGCAACAGAAATGACTGTGACTGGCCGTGAAGGTCATCAGTTCACTGCTCTTCACCCAGTGCAAACACAGATACATTTTAAAAACACGAAGATCAGTCGATCGCTTGTCTGTGTTTGCACTTGGTAAATAGTAGAAGTGTGGTGAACTGATGACCTGTACAGCCAATCACAGTCATTTCTGTTGAGCGCTGGTGAAAACAACGGGTTAGCAAGAAATTAGCATTTTTTGATAAATTTCAGTACCAAAATTCAGCATGTTGACAGGCCTAATATAGCGAAAGCATCGAATCGTTAACTTGAGTTTGATAAATGGCATCTAAAATGTGTGTCTGGGAAAGAAAACATTAGCTATCTACTGCCATTTCCCTTAACTGAAAATGAGCTCTGATATGCCTTTTTATTTTCACCAGTCATTCAGAACAAACCTTCGGCTCACTCGAAAGGCGGTGAAATGATAAATTTGCGATACTTCAGATACTCAGACAATACTTTGGGCTTTCTTCTCACCGCAGCCTTGTTTTCGCTTTTACAAATGGCAGCCGCATGAAATCAGTCCATTAAATACTGTTGGGCTGATAATTCCAACACAATCTCACGGCAATTCGTAACTTTTTGATTCAGTGGCTAATTCGTATGAATCTGTACAATCTAATTCGTACAATTTAGTACAATTTGCTCATCCCCCAATGACGGTTGGGTTTAGGGGTGGGGTTAGGAGCCACGCCTCCTTTTTAAAACTGTACAATTTCGTACGACTGAACTCGTACGAATTCGTCCGAATTAGCCATTAAACTGGCAAAACGTAAAACACTGATGTTTTCTCGTGAGATCAGGCTGGATAATTCCCATAGTTCTGATAAGTAGCTCAAACTGTCTGCCAATGTAGATTTGTGCATCTGCACACCACGTTCACGCAGATTCACATGAGTGACAGCAGTAAAATCAAATGCTGAATCAAAACCAGTTAAACTCCAGAATCAATATTGGAGTTCTGCACGCTGGAGGAAGGACGACACCATGGCTGAAGTATTGATTTTAGTAATGTTCTGTTTTAACCTCTTTTAGAATCTCTTTGCTTGTGTGCCGATTTCCTCTGTTCGTGCACAAAACCTCTTGCACGCCCTCAAATATACACTGCTCAAGCGCAGATCTTCTTGTGCGCTCTCGAATAAACACTGCTGAAGTGTGATTTAGTGCGTTTATGTAACAAGTATGTCTCCAACATTTATTAGATTTGCTAGGAATATTTATGAATGTCTCCAATAGACCTACAGAGCGGCATTAATGCGTCCTGAAGTAAAGTGAAACGGCTATAAACTCCAGCAATAAAGTCATTAGCTGCGTCCCAAATTGCATACGTATGCACTATTCTAAGCCATTTTGTAGTATGAAAGTGTGAGTAGTGTGTTCACACTGAAAACAATAATAATAATAAGTGCACTGTAATGACCCGGATGCTGCACTCATTCAGCCGGTATAATGAAGTGTGTACTGATGGACACTTCACACACTCAAGGTTTGCTCACGTAGCGGAAGGGGCGGAGCTATCGGGGATACCTTTATTTATTTTGGATGGTGAAATCAAAATTCTCTTACGAGACTGATTATAGCGCCTCCCGATGGTGAATGCGGTTATACTCACGGCAGGTGTTATTTGACAGTTTGGTCATTTATTTCACTGATTTGGCGACCGTCAAACATCATCAGGGAAACGATTGAAATTTCTGCTTAGTTAAAAAAAAAACATTAGTGCTCCATTTAGGACACTACATACATACTATACTGTTGAGTGTGAAAGTGCATAAGTACATAGTGCATGAGTGCATAGTGTGCCATTTGAGACGCAGCTATTGTATGCAGAGCTACAGACCTTCATCTATGAATAAAGTATAATTAAGGAAACAGTGTTCATCTTAACTGAAAGCTACGTCGTGTTTGCTGGCCTCATGCACCTGTCAGTCAGTCAGTCAGCATATCATCTTTAAGGGTAGCACTACTACAATTACAGAAAGTTCGCACTGTTGTAATTGACTTACATTTGAATTGGTTGTGGTGTGATTATAACCCGCTACTAAAAACAGCAACGACTGAATGTTTTGAACGAGAAGCTGTGATGTAGCCATGGCGGGATGCATTTTGGTGTGGCGCCTCGCCATGGAAGAATGAATGTAGCGGAAAGCATGCATGCAATAAACTCCAGCATATGTTCTGTTACTCTACACGCTTAGTTCTCTAGATATTATTTCTTATACCAAACGACTAAAATGTCAATAAAAGTCACTTTGCCAAACTGTAGAGTTGAACGTTCAACATCAGAAGAGGACAAAGCAGAGATCAACATCCCATAATGCAGATCACCTCCGCAAATACACACTGAAACTGTTCATTAACAGATGTGTTTGACTAGTGTCTTGAAGAATAGCTAGCTTATGTTATTTACTGTCATCATGGGAAGGAGAAAATGAATCAGTGATTAAGAATGAGTTATGAACACTGTCATGTTGAGAAATGTCTTCATTTGAACAGCACTTTGGGAAATATTTGCTAAATAATTAAAATTTGACAGGAGAGCAGCTGATTTTGTCTTCAAGTCTATATAAATCATATTGGCTGAAATGTATTTCCGGCTAACGATGATGTAAATGTAGTCGTATATCTGTCTATCTAACATTTGAGGATCGTCACACTGGAAGCAGCCGTCGGTATCTCTCTATATACGTCAGCATAACAGATTTGGTAGGAATTATAAATTATTAAAAAGTACAGTATATAAAATGAGACTCGGCGGTTGTTTTGCGGCACGGCAGAGTGATACGTCACAATCCAAAAACTAAAATAATAAATCAAACAATATGCGATGAAGGAGGAAATCATACAAACAGAATATATCTATATCTATACTGTAGAGAGCCATCTATTCTAGCAGAGAGAACGTCTAGAAATCTCCATCAAAGCGCTAAAGTCACACCTCTATGGCATCATGTAGAAATAAAGCGAACGCTAGAGGAACACAGCCGTATCTGAGGGATTCTGCATTGCACTGTTCACACATCTGACACACTGAGGGAAGGAGCTCGCCGTCTGACACACTTCAGAACCTGTGGAGGATCTCTGAGCAGCTGGAGACAAGGACAACAGCTGACCTCGGTGTGTGTGTGTGTGTGTGTGTGTGTGGAGTGTGTGTAACTGAGAATGTGTGTGTTTAAGAGTGTGTGTGACAGTGCAGGTGTAAATGTGTTTGTGTGTGTTTGAGAAAGAGTTTGCGAGTGTGTGTATTTGTAAGACAGCGTGAGTGTGTTTGTTTGTGTATTTCTTTGTAGGACAGTGTGTGTAATTGTTTAAGAGTGTTTGTGTGTGTGTTTGTAAAAGAGTGTGTGTGTGTGTGTGTTTGAGAGTGTGTTAGAGAGAGTGTGTGTGTGTAAATGCATGAGTGTGTGTGCGTGTGTGTGTGTGAGTGCGTGTTTGTAAGTGGGAGTGTGTGTGTATGTGAGGTGTGTCTGTGTGACAGTTTGCGAGAGTTTGTGTGTGTTTGTACGAGAGTGTGTGTGTGTTTGAGAGTGTGTTAGAGAGAGTGTGTGTGTAATTGCTTAAGAGTGTGTGAGTGTGTGTTTTTAACAGAGTGTGTGTTGTGAGAGTGAGAGTGTGTGTGTGTGTAATTGCTTAAGAGTGTGTGAGTGTGTGTTTGTGTGTGTGTTTTTAAAAGTGTGTGTGTTGTGAGAGTATGTTAGAGAGTGTGTGTGAGAGTGTGTGTTTGTAAGTGGGAGTGTGTGTTTGAGACAGAGCATGTGTGTGTGTATGTGAGGTGTGACAGTTTGTGAGTGTTTGCGTGTGTTTATTTGTAAGACGGTGTGAAAGTGTACGTGTGTGTGTGTGTGTGTGTGTGTGTGTATGACAGTGTGAGTGTAAAAGTGTGTATTGGTCTAAGTGTTTTTTTTTGAGTGTGTGTGTGTGTGTGTGTGTGTGTGTGTGTGTGTGTGTGTGTGTGTGTGTGTGTGTGTGTGTGTGTGTGT